AAATAGCAATTATTTTTTAAGGGTTTGGGATTTGTCCGGGTTTGGCCGGCAAGTATAATTATGCCTAGATCCTTGACTAGATTCTTGAACCCGTTATCACATGATATCAAGATTTTTGATTTTTTTGAATTTTTTTTTTTTTTTACACCCCTGGCTCGAATATCTGTAACGACCTAAGTTCTAATCCATTATGAGCGATAAATTAACGAGAATCGCAATTGTCAGCTCGGATAAATGCAAACCTAAGAAATGCAGGCAGGAATGTAAAAAATCATGCCCTGTTGTAAGAATGGGTGGGTATTTTAGCGTGACTACCTTGTTCAATTTCAATTTTAATCTTTATGATTGTTTTTATATATTACTCATTTTAGGCAAACTTTGTATTGAGGTTACTCCTGATAGCAAGATCGCCTTCATATCTGAAGAATTATGTATCGGTTGCGGCATATGCATTAAAAAATGCCCGTTCGGTGCAATTATGATCATTAACCTTCCCACGAACCTTGAAAAAGAAGTCACTCATCGATATTCAGCAAATTCTTTTAAACTTCACCGTTTGCCAGTTCCTAGACCAGGTCAAGTTCTTGGTTTGGTTGGTACTAACGGTATTGGTAAAAGTTCTGCACTAAAAATTCTAGCTGGAAAGCTAAAGCCGAATTTAGGAAGATTTGAAGTAATTATGAACCTTTTCAGATAAGAAGTCTATACATTGGTCTTACTACAATGATGTAAATTAAATCAATTTAATCGATCTTAAAGGATCCCCCAGATTGGCAAGACATTTTGAAATATTTTCGTGGCTCAGAGTTGCAAAATTATTTTACTAAAATTTTAGAAGACAATTTAAAGGTATAAATCATAAATTCATTTTTTGAATTGGATCATTTTCTCATTATCATTTTAAACTCATCAAATTACATATATATGTTTGTTAATTCAGGCCATTATCAAACCCCAATATGTCGATCATATTCCGAAAGCTGTCAAGGGAACGGTTACAGCTTTAATTGATGCCAAATTAGAACGAAATAACAAGGAAAAAATGATTAATGATTTAGATCTACGCGATGTTTTGGATCGTCAAGTGATTGATTTATCTGGTGGAGAACTTCAACGATTTGCTATTGCAGTGGTGTGCATTCAAAATGCAGACATGTTAGTTTATCACTATTTTATATGAAATCTTTATATTTGTGGCATATTTTAGGGTTAACAGAGAATATTATAATTTCTGGCAATAGATATATGTTTGACGAGCCATCTTCTTATCTAGATGTTAAGCAACGTTTAAACGCTGCTAGGACGATAAGATCTTTATTACAGCCTGATTGGTTGGTAATATTATTTTTACGAGTTTTCAGAGTTTTATATATTTAATAATTAGCATTATTATTCATTAGTTACGTCATAGTTGTCGAGCACGACTTATCAGTTCTAGATTATCTATCTGATTTCATTTGTGTACTTTATGGAATGCCATCAGTGTATGGTGTTGTG